AAGATATCTTCCAGAATTTCAAGAGATCAGATCAAAACATGATTTTTTTTCTATTTGTCAAACACCTACATTAGCTTGTGAAGTAACTTTACAACCTATAAAACGATTTGATTTAGATGCTAGTATTATCTTTTCTGATATCTTAGTTATTCCACAAGCAATGGGTTTAACTGTTGAAATGATTCCTGGAATGGTTTGTTTTTTAATTTATATATATTTAAAAAAAGATTTTTATAATTTTATATCAAAAGAAAATCTTTATTAAAAAAAATGTAAATATAATAAATTTTAAATTTATTATATTTTATTATTAAAATTATTATATTTATTATATTTTTTTTATTAAAATTATATTTTATTAAAATTTTAAATTTTATTATAAAATACAGGGACCAGTTTTACCCAAACCATTAAAGGATCCAAAGGATTTGGTTAGATTAATTCAACCAAATGTAGAAAAGGATTTAAAATATGTAAGAGATGCTATAACTTTAACAAGATATAAACTAGAAGGAAAAGTACCCTTAATTGGATTTACAGGTGCAGCAGTGAGTAAAATAATTTTTATATGATTTATATTATGATTTTTAAAGAAAAAGAATATATCATTGTAAATTCTTTATATTTTATGTTGTAAAACAAATTTTTAGTAGTATTCATATTTGTGAATTATTAGTGGACGTTAATGAGCTACATGATCCAAGGTGGAGGTAGTTCCACAATGATAAGGGCACGAGAATGGTTATATAAATACCCAAATGACTCTCATAAACTTTTACAACTTATTACAAATGTCATAATAGATTATCTTGTAATGCAAGTAAAAGCTGGAGCACAGGTATTAATTCTTTTTTATTAACATAAATTTTATATTATTTTATATATTATTATTTTTAAAAATAAAAAAATATATAATTATATTCATTATAAATTAATATAAAAATAAAATAAAATATAGTAATACTTCCATAAATGATAGGTTGTGTAACCTAATAAAACCTAATAAAATTGTAAACTAATTTTTTCTTATAGTTATTGCAAGTATTTGAAAGTCATAGTGATTTCCTCAATGATGAATTATTTGAAAATTATTCACTTAAATATTTAAAACAAATTAGTGAGAAAGTCAGACAGCGTCTAAAAGAAGAAAATATTCCTGAAGTACCAATGGTAAATAAAATAAATATTACAATATATTTATTTTATTTTAAATTGCTAAAAATAGAACAAATTTTAGATTGCTTTCCCTAAAGGTGCAACTATAAATTCCTTGGAAATGTTAGCAAAATCTAAAACTTATGAAGTATTAGGTTTAGATTGGACAATTGATCCTATAGAAGCAAGAAAAAAATTTGGTTCTGAAATTATTTTGCAAGGAAATTTTGATCCATGTGCACTATATGGTTCTGAGGTTTATAATATAATAATATTATATTTATAAAATTATAATAATTTAAAATGATTCGTACATAATTATTTTTAGTTTTTATTTATTTTCGTTATTAAATTAATCAATTTTTTTTTATAGCAAGAAATAATCAGTCGTGCACAAGATATGGCATTGAAATTTGGTAAAATTCGATATATAGCAAATTTGGGACATGGAATTTTACCAGATACACCAATCACATCAGTTACTGCTTTTATCAAAGGAATTCATTCAATATAATTTATTTGCTTGTGTATTTATTATAAAATTTGTAATAAAATACTATTAATATATTTATATTTTATTATATTAATTAACATATTTAGATAGTTATATTATTATTATATTAATTATATTAAAAATAAAATATACATATCTTTAAGAAGATTTTATTTTATGAGAAATCTATTGACAAAATTGAAATTGGATAATAAAATTCCTAATATTTAAAATATTTTCGATTTTGAAGAATATAGAAAATATTTAATAATATTGATAATTTGTGATTTTATGATAAATATAGAAACTTGTATTTTATTGTATTCTACATATTTTATATATGGAATAGAAATATCAACAAGTCTTACATAATCAAAAATTCACTTAGAATTCTCTAATTTTAATTTTAATTGTATAATAATCTATCATTGAGCGAAATTTTTATTTTGTTTAAATATTTTGTGTTAATAGGTATAAAATAGTATAAAATAAATTCAAAAATTAAATTAATGAAAAACTATATGATGAAAAGAAAAAATATATATATATATATTATTACTATTATAAAATTAAATAAATGTAAAATTATTTTTTCTATTTCATATTTAAAATTTAAATAACTTCTTACATATTGCTTGGATTTAATGAAACAAATCAAAAAAAACAAATTAGATATAAATAAAACAATATAATTAAAATCTATGAAAAACAAAATTGAATTCATTATATTGTATATATTAAAATATTTGTATTGATTGTATTGATATATATTTAGAAAATATTATAAAAATATTTAAAATCTTTTCAAATAAAATAAATCAAGATTAAATTTTAGAAAAGAACAAAAATTATTTAAATTTTTATATTTTTATAGATTTTGACGTGCGGAATTTTAAGATGATTATTTTAATTATCAGAATCTAATAGTTAAAAAATTATTTTATATATAATTATTAATTAACATCAATTATTGATCATTAATTGATCCAAGCGAATTTATAATTTAAGGGAAGTTACAAGTTTTTCGAATCATTATCAACAATATACAATATTTCTAAATTCTACTTATTCAATCAGTAATCACATTTAATAATTAAACGAGATTATGAATTTTATATAATATAATAATATAATTGATGTGTAACTATAAAACTGTGAATTTTTAAGAATTTTTTATATGACATATTGGATTTTTATTAATTTGATTGGATGCGCATCGGCGCGTAAAATTCAAATTATAGTTAAAAAATTTGGTTATCATATTTATATTCTTCATACTATCTGGACAATAGAATCAATAATTGTTAAATTAAATAAAAAATTCAAATTGTGTTATAATCTATAATTAATTTAGATTAAGTCATAATTGATCATTTTATATAAAAAACGAAATTAAAATCTAATTTAAGAAACTGGATTAGATATGAGAAAAAAAAATAATATTATGGCTGTGATATGTTGTTTATGCAAATATTTATAACAATATAGTTTTCATTGAATAAATAGCTACATATATTATAAGTATTAATTGTATTATATGGAATTCTTTGATTGAAAAATAATTTAAATTTAAATCACGTATTGATGCTTCTATTCTCCAAGCGGATTGGATAAAAATTTAATATAATATCACATAACTTATGAATATTCGTACCGTATGAAGTTTTGTATTATAAAAATATGAAACTTTGAATGTAAATAATTTTTAAATTATTAAATTTCAATAATTAAAGTATTTTCAAATTGCATCAAAATCGATAAATACATAAAAAAAATTCTAATATCCAAAAAGTTTATAATATTTCTAAAATTTAGCTTAAAACAAAAAAATGAATTCAATTCGATAAATAATTTTTTATAATGTATTTTGATATTTTAATACCGATAATTCGTCAACCAATAACTATAATATATTTATTATATATTTGATTTGTTTTTCTGTTTATTTCTTTAAACAAATTATAATATCTAATTTAACCAAGTTTTCTAGTCACTATGCAGAATAGCGCTTGCGCATTAAACTAAATTTACAATATATGAAATTTCTCATCTAACTCTACCCCCACAATATTCCCAGTCGGAATCCGTGGATCTATTCGGGTGACCCCCGTCTCGATTAGCAGTTTGCGCAAGCGCAACCAGCTCTTCTGGTTAGAGTGTCCATTTTGATCACATGTGAGTATCTCCAGTCTGTTCTCTCTTTTTCACGGTGAATTTAGCTGATCGACTTGTGATCACTTGAACAAGTTTGTAAAACGTGCATTGAAAAGTCTCGAGAATAAAGAACAACAATATTTAAGACCAATTTATATCCGTGATTTCTTTAATATATTCCGACAATCGGCAATTTCGACGACGAACTACATACAATCCTTTTCGCGCCATCTTCTTAAGGAAAACGGTCAAAAAACCGTAGTAAACTCGTACTCGAAGGTAATTCGACTTTCATGAGACTGTTCAATTAATTTTTCACAAAGAAGCTTTAACATTGAGAGAACTGTCAGCCAAGTTGAATCTTTGGTTAGATTATGCTTGCACAACGTGTTCAATATCTCTTTCAGTTTTGCAAAAGCTTTTCGAAATATTTTGTGTTTTAAATTTATTTTATAAATGTTTCTTGAAATTAATTATTTATTTACTTAATGTTCGAATTTTATTTCATTTTTATTTGTGATAATTTGAAAATCTTTGATTTTTTTACAATTTTAAAAACATTCTAACAATGAAACATGTTTCATAATATTTCAAATAATTTTTTAATATGTTATTAAATTTATTATTTATAATTTAAAATTGTATTATATATTAAATATATCATTATGATTATTTTAAATAAGTAAAAATAAAACATTCTAAATATTAATATTTCAAAGCATATTGTGATATGTAGTTCTGTTTTCATTAGAAATTTATATTATATTACTTTATAGTAGTTTTTTCAATTTTTCGTAAAACATATTGGAATATTATATTATATGTAGTAGGTATTTTAAAAAAGTTTTTAAAAGATATTTAAACTCGGATATATATATTTATATTTACATTTGAAATATTAATTTTAACAATTTTTATTAATATTTTGTCATAAATTAAATTTTTTCTAAATTATAAAGATAAATTATATTTTATTCATTTTTTGACTTTTAACATTTATAAAATTTGAATATGATATCTTTAAATAATTATAAAATTTAATAATAATAATATTAATAAATTTTTAATTCTTATTTAAAAACAATATATTTTGATTTTTCAAGCAATTATTATCAAGAAAATAAA